TCTTTCCTCCCTCAGGTGATGCACAATCAAGGTAGCTTCAGTTTCCTGTTGTGTGGAATGATCTTCGGCTGCCTGGGATTCGCCTTCTTCGTTTTGCTGTTCTTCGTCCAGCAGAGTCACAAAAACTTCATGGAAGGTGCGTCGACTCTCTCAATTTACATTGTTGCCCGTAATCGGTGGATGCTTTTATTCAAAACAACTTACATTGAGCTCAAAGTATACATTTGTGTGTTCATTGGGAATCAAAGCTCTGATCTCGGCATTGTGAGTGCCAAGCTCTACCAGCTGAATAAAACTAGTCTTGTCCTTTTAGCTAAAACTAATAGTTTGGCTTATCAAATAACACTTCTTACCATTCATTTGTGAGATGCATCTAACATCTAGGATTGTTATACAGCTTTACCTGGTGACTCCCCTGCTGAAAGACTTGAGGAAAACGGGATTGAGACCTGTTCTGCTGCCGTGCTGAACTCATGGGACACGTCAGAGCAGAAAGCATCCATCGATCCATAACAATGGAGAATATGGATGAAAAATGCAAAGGGACAATGGTGTCATGGACTCAGGGACATCAAGGACCAAATATATCCTTGGATGATCATGCACATCATCGACAGAGCTAAAAAAAAAAAATGTCATGAAGTGTTAAATGTTTATTTTTGTATTAAAGTATTTTTGGATGAATGAAACGATCTTGTGCACAAATGTCACAATTTAACCATTTTCGATGGCTTCAATGGATATGTGCAATACAATAACAGCTTTAAAGAAAAGTTGGTTTTTATTTTATTTAGAAAAGATGTTTATTTTTAGAAACAGGCTGACCAATCAGCATTGGAATATCAGTGGTTGTTATTGGATCAAAATAACAACATAAAAAAAAATAGTATTTACTATTTTTGTGAATGTGTAAAAGCCCTGCAATGTTTTCTTTGAATGCATCTTTAGCATCTTAATTGGACTGGGCTCGTGCATTGTGTTGCTTTTGTTCTTCGCAGCCTCATTCAAACCCTGCTGGCTGTCAGTCTTATTCACAAATCAGCAGCCAATTCATTCTCTGCCAAAGCTGATGTGCTCATAACACATTTGTGGTGAAGAGATTAAAGTCATTAAAGGACATCCTACTGTTTTCCTGGAAAAGTTTCCTTGTATTGTGCTGTATGGCTTCAGGTCTGACGGTTCGTCTAAAGCCAGTGAACTCTTTGTTCAGGTGGGCGATCCTGATTGTTGGAGGTTGCTGTGTCAGCGTATTTCTCTTGGCCTGGGTAAAATTCTATTTGTTTTTCTGGTTTACGCAGGTGTCAGACATGCTAACGTTAACATAATTGCTGCATAAATGAGGTCAGTGAAGACGCACAAACCAAACGAGTTACTGTTTTTCTTTTTTTATATAGAAATCCTCCTTCCTTTCCAACATCCACAGACTAGTATAACAGGTATGCCAATGAACAGATTTGTAAACATTTGAACTGCTTGAGACAATCTGAAAATACATTTGCACAAAAATATTTAAAACATTTGGTGTCAATATAGTACCATAACAGTTGAATTGATCATTATCATCCCTTTTTCCACACAAAAAAAATTAACCATGAAAAAAAAACATTGTTCGAAATGCAGTGCAGTCATGACATGTCAACATTTAGAGGATGAGAAAATCTTATGCGTCTTAAAAGCTTAATATCGGCACTTTTCAAGAATAGGGTACAAAATAGCAATCTATTAAATTTCCGAAGCATATTTAAGATACTAAAGATATTAAAGTGCCCCAATTATGGGTTATGAAAGGTTTATATTTTGGTTTTGGGAGTCCCCAACAATAGGTTGACATGCATGCAAGGTCAAAAAACACTTTTATTGTCTTATAATATGCATTTATTTTTACCTTATTTGCTCAACGACTCCTAAACGATTCGTTCAACGCTTACCTCCTTTGCGTGACGTTAATCTGTGGTGATTGGTCCCATTTTTATTTCATAATGCCTGATAAAGTAGCGTTTGTAAGCGCAGTGCTGTTTTGTGTACAGCGTTACTGGGGAAACCGCTATTTTTACCGCTCCAAAAGCGACACCTAGTGGCAAAGAATGAATTTGCATTTTTATTCAAACCAACACAAAAAGACCAACAAGTGGGCGGGCAATATGCTAATGTATTATGTTGACGTCAACATGAAACGGCTTGGGATTCGTTTTAAAAACGACTCGTTTCAATGATTCAGTCGACTTTTTTTTTGGGACACAATAACTTTATACACGGTGCAATTTCAGATTTAAAACGTGGCAGGATGTTTTCATTCACTTAGAGCTGTGTTACACACTGCACGAAAGGTAATTTTCAAAAATCCATAATAGGGGCACTTTAATAAAGTATTGTATATGGAGTTCCTGAAGAAGAAAAAAATCTAATCCGTTATAAGGTCTGAATATGGGTTAAAAGCCTGATTTGTCATTTTTCTTTTCGTGTGATTTCTTGCAATAAAATTCAAATAAAAATACACCATAATGGGTAACAGGGTTGCAAGTAATTAATGTTTTACTCGGCAGGGGATAGTTTTCCAAATGTTGTTGTAAACATATATATATATATATATATATATATATATTTAAGAATGTGCTATTTTTGGAATGGTTAAGAATACAGTTAACACAATGGGCCTCATTTACGAAACGAACGTACGACAGAAAATATGTGCAAATTTACAAAATAGAATGACACTATATAATTGTATGTTCTGTTAGTTAATAGAAAGAGCTCACATGATGTCAATTTCTGGGTGTGACCATTTTAGGGTAACTTGCTATTTTTGGGGGGAAATTATGGGGTAAGCAGGTTGCAGGCAAAAGCAGGAACAGCCAAATAGAATGTGGATAAAATATATAATCGAATATATCTCAAATATATTAATTGAATATCAATTACTTTTCATGTTAGAAAATATTTTAACATTTTTAATAGTGCTCGCTAAAGACTGATTTGTATGGAAGCTTGTTTCTGCCACTGAATAAATAAAATTTAAAATAAAAAAAGGTAATTGCGACTTTCTCACAATTCAGACTTTTTTCGTAATTGCGAGTTTACATCTCGCAATTCCGACTTTCTCAGAATTACGTGATACAAACTCACAATTATGATTTTTTTTTTCTCAGAATCGCATGATGTAATCTCACAGTTGTAGGTTGTAGTCAGAATTGTGGGATGTAAGCTGACTAACTCGCAATTGCCTTTTTCGCGAGTTTTAATCTCAGAATTCTGAGGAAAAGAAGTTAGAATTGTGAGGAAAAAAAGTCGCAATTACATTTGATATTTTTTATTCAGTGGTGGAAATGGGCTTCCATAGATTTGTCATAATTGCTTGCTTAAAAAAATTAAAATAAAGAACACTAATTTATTCCCTATTTGTAAAAAGTGCCATTTTTGTAAAATACAGGGCTTTCTAACTTTTTAGAATGGAAAATCTCAGTTAAGAGAACATGTTTATAGTAGGTGATAAAGTAATTCTAAAATATCTTTTACTTATGCCAGAAAGTCTTAAAATCCATTACAAAATCTCTGTGCAGCAAAACGTTTAAATGCATAGTTTACAAATGTTGATCCAAAACCTAAATTTGAGTGCTTGGGGTGGTGGAGTCACTAGTAAGCTGACATTTACAGTTTTACAACAGATTCTAAAAAATACAAAGTGCCAGTAAAGAGAAAAAATGAGGAGAGAGAGAGAGAGAGAGAGAAAAAAAGAGGCAATTTAAGTGCTTAAAGACTCGCATTAAAATACAACAGATGTTGAGTATGGCTACAATAGTTAAATGTGTTTGGGGGGAAACCAAACTCACAAACAGAAGAAACATAACATCATTGCTTAACAGCTAAACGGATATGACAAACCCATTTTATCCATTACAGGGAGAAATTTGAATTTTCATAGAAACAAAACAAATGACTATTTAATGACATAAAAATAAATGCAGCCCCACTAAAATCTACTAAGTGGGTAAGACAGCATTTAACTAAAATAATGGAAACAGGTTAAAAACAAGTCACATTGCACACTGCACAAAATCCATTATTCAAAAGGTAAAAGGCATTAAGCAACTCAATATCCCCTCGATGAGAAGGCAATTGCATGTGCAGTGCTCACGATACAAGCAAGAGCAATCAAACAGTCTGAATTCTGCAGGAATGCAAATGAAGACGTTTCACACTATAGGACCTCAAGAAAACAGGTCACGGTGAAAATACTACAAAACAACAGCACAATGCTACTGACATCCCATCACATCTTACTGTATGTACAATGAAACATTTCAACTTATGTACTTAAAAGGAATATTTTAACCCCCTCCCTCAATATGAATTTCTTTCTTCCATGGAACAAAAAAGGAGATATTTTGCACAATGTCCAAGCTGCTCTTTTCCATACAATGAAAGTAGATGATTTATAGGTCCAAAAAGAGCATAAAAGCACCATAGATTTAATTTATAGTGTTATATGAAAAGCAGTTTATAGTTACAATCTCGGTTAAAAAAATGTCAGTCTGTTCCTCGCACAAAACAACTGTATGGCTTCAGAAAAAGCACAAATCGTACATATAAATGAATTGGCTTTTATGTATGGAAAAGACATTCTGCAAAATCTCATTTTTGTCATGCAGGTTTGGAACAACAGTGAGAATGAAAAAAAGAAAAATCAACTAATTAAATGTTAGCTGTTTGCACACTTGCACTACAAGAGCAGCTATTAAAATGGAATAAAATGTCCCTATGCAGACTGAAAATATTAACCCAACAGTACTAGAAAGTATGAGTAAACAATATTTCATTTGATCCATTTTTAACTGGATCTGAATTTAGATTCTAGCTTTTATTATCTATGTTTATGATATTATGCCGAAGGAATGTTCTGGGTTAAATACAACTCAAACTTGTATTTAAGATGTTAAGACCCTGATCTAGGGTCATTTGTGTTTTAAAAAATTAAAGAAAATAAAGAAAAAAACGTATGTACAATTTATGTTTTGGAGCAATAAATGTCTTTATATTGAGTCAAAATTATGTTCTGTGCTCACAAATGCTGTCAAAATCCATATTTAACCCAGAACAATCCTTTAAATAGCTGAAGTTTTAGCTTCTTTTGGTAGCAAAGGACAAAACATAGCCTTTCCGAAAAGAAACAATTAACTAAACTGTTGCCTATTTTGATTTTACTGGCAACAGACAACAGGACTTGAAGGCAACGTGTTAGTATGGGTGTGAAAGAACCATTTCTTCCACTCGGATCAGTTTGTTGGATATTAACATAGAGCTTTGTGAAAGGATAAGGACTATGGGTAATCATACAATACCTGAGAGCTGAATTTGAGATGCTGAACAGTTCCTGTTTTTATATACATATGTATTTTTTTTTATCCCTTTCTATTTTTATCATTGCACTTTAAGTGGTCTTATAGGGAGGGACTTACAGAGCTCGGTTTCTGCAACATGAATGTCAGCATTTAAACCTTGTTCCAGTTTTGCATCTAATGCATGTCAGTTATAAATCATGGCTTGTTGAGTTTAGGACTCTTAGAGGTAGGGTTTTATGTTGTGCAACATATGGGCACTCATTTTTTAAATTGGTTTATAAGTGGAGATGTAAAACTGCCAAACGCTCCACAAAAACAATACAACGATGCTGCATTGACATCATAGAGTGGCTGCAGAATTTGGTTCAGACATTTAGCAATCTTTGCCGGTGTTGTGCAATATTCAATTCTCTTTCAGAATACAAAGTCCACTGGCCCCTAAAATAATTCCAGGACTTGTTCTGGGTATTCTTTATATATAATGCCTGATCAGAGACACTACTTTATAATTTGTGGTAAATAAATCACTTAATCTTTTAAATTATACATAAAACACACAATACAGTGCAAACGTTTGGGATCTGTACGTTTTATTTAACGTTTCTGAAGGAAGTCTCTTATGCTCATCAAATCAATGTTGCATTTATTTGAAAAAAAAAAAAATTGTGAAATATTACAATTTAAAATAACAATTTTCTGTTTTAATATATTGTAAAATGCAATTTATTCCTGTGATGCAAAGCTGAATATTCAGCATCTCCACGCTTGAGTGTCACATGATTCTTCAGAAATCATTCTAATGTGTATACAGTGCAAACGTTTGGGATCTGTAAGTTTTATTTAACGTTTCTGAAGGAAGTCTCTTATGCTCATCAAATCAATGTTGCATTTATTTGAAAAAAAAAAAAAATTGTGAAATATTACAATTTAAAATAACAATTTTCTGTTTTAATATATTGTAAAATGCAATTTATTCCTGTGATGCAAAGCTGAATATTCAGCATCTCCACGCTTGAGTGTCACATGATTCTTCAGAAATCATTCTAATGTGTTAATATAATATGCTAATATAGTTCCAATATAATATTTCTTATCATCATCAATGCTGAAAATAGTTGTGCTGATTAATATTTGTGTGGAATCCAATTTTTTTCAAGATTCTTTGATGACTAGAAAGTTCAAAAGAACAGCATTTATTTGAAATATAAATAATTTGTAAACATTATAAATATCTTTTTCGATCAAATGCATCCTTGATGAATAAAAGTATTAATCTCTAAAAAATAAATAAAGCTTACTGACCCCAAACTTTTAAATGATAATGTATCTTTAACAGTCTTTATGCATTTACTTTAATGCAGTTATATTTAAAATAAATGTGATGCTTTCAAAACACATGCCAGTTCTGAATGACCATCAATAGAGAAAAATATGTGGTATAATCTACCAGCAGGGGTTAACTGGACCATGCTAACCAGCCAACCCAGCTACAACAAGGACAGACACTTCTGACTGGGCATTATAAACAGCTTTGCCTTGTTGTCCAAGGTAGATTGTATTCTGCGGGGGGATTGAATCTTGCAAAACACCGGGAAAGCTGACAAATGCAGGAATGGTTTTGAGCATTTGGCCTGGGCTCTACAGGCAGCCATCCAGTTACGGTACTCATCCAACCGATCTCCACCAATCCAACCATCCTAATGGTGGGATGAGGCTTTAAACACTAAGCCGATGCCGTTCCATTCCATTTTATGCCGTGTAAACTCCATCAGCTTAATGGTGAATCGGCAGTCTATTGGAGTAAAGCAAGTCCTTGGGTTTTCCCACTCAACTGAAATCATTCCTAATGGCTTCCAGTCTTTCAGAGAGGGGAAATGGTTTGTATGAATAGATCTGCATGATAAGCATGGCTGCAGTGGCATATCTGGTGGTGTTACGGTAATGGTTCAATGGCGTTGGGGCGTGTGTGGAAACACACTTCATTAGACAGTCGCCATCAAGCATTGGAACGAGGATGATGCCAATTTAGCTTACTAAATAGCCTCTCAAAAATATGCATCATGGTCAAAGCACCAGAAAAGTTCCTGGCGTCTTGATTATTAGCCTCAATATTCCTTAAGAGATAGTTCACCCAAAAATGAATGAAATATAACTTTCTTTCTTCTGTTCAACACAAAAGATGATATCTCAGTGTGAAGGTCAGTTGGGTTCAATGTTGTTTTGTTGACTTCCATTGCATGGACACTCTCCAAATGACTGCGTTCCTCAGAAAAAAATAGAAAGACATGCAGGTATGGAATGACGTGAATTTTCATTTTTGATGAACTATACAAAATAAACTTGACTTCTGCCGACTCTGATTGCAATCATTACAAAAAGTGATTGTGTTCATGTGGCTCTTGAACAATAAAATGTTGTCAGGAATGTGTTTGAGGGTCGCACCATCTAGCTTTACTAGGTGATGCACTGAATTGTAGATGTAGACTAGGGCTGCACGATAAATCGAAATGGAATCGAGATCGCGATTCGACAGAAGCTGCGATTGTCATGCGTATCTTTCAGTGAAGCACGGTTCTGTGATCAGCAGTAAATCTCCATCCAAAGGCCAGAGGGCGCTCTCGTGCTGAAACTCCAAATACACCTCGCAGAAGAAACCCAGAAAATCGCTGCAGCTGAATAAACAGAAGATTCAACTGCTTTCATTGATTCAACGTGACTAATAAACACACGACTACGGCAATATATGGTTTATCTGAGTTCTTATTATAATTTTCATTAAAATAAAGTATATTTATAATGCAATGCCTTTATCACTGCTTAAATACTATGAAATATGTTGCGTGCCTTTTTCTGTTTAAGAAGCCACATCATCTCACAGGAGGATTTATTTCAAACACTCGACTGACGTTATGAAGTGAGTTTGGAGTAAAAATATGTTATTAAATGTGGTATTTTCACATGCTTTCAGATGGAGCAGCATTTACTTCACAGAGCCGTAGTTCACTGAGAAGCTATGCAAACAGCTGTCATTATCGCAAACGATTTCAGAATCGATTTTTTTTGCGTAACTTGTCAGTGAACTACGGCTGTGTGTAGTAAACTCTGCTCCATCTGAAAGCACGTGATGATAATTTCCTGCTGATTACAGAACCGGCATTACTATCAAAATGCGCATGACAATCGCATTCGATTAATCGTGCAGCCCTAATGTAGACATAATAGAATGAAAATTGGCATGTACACAAACTGCGTCCCAGAGTGGCTGGGTGACATTAGTTTTGTAAAATAAGCCAACTAGTTCACTACTTCTTATCTGCATGGCTAGTAAACATGAACAGGCGCAAAAGCCCTAGTAAGTGCAGCTTGTTTTCATCCAAGTGCTGTTCGTGGGGTTACTGAGACAGAACACTTTAAATACATAGCAGTAAGTGCAGCATGAAGAAAGGTGCAAGATAAAACAGAGGTCACCTTTATCAAAATCACAAGGCAAAGGGGCGGTTTAGCTTGGCAAGGCAGGTTTGTTTGAGGACTTCCCAAACAAAAGGCAAACATGAGTTGAGACGAGGTGAACTTGTTGGATTATGTACAAAACGATCCCTCTTTATCCAATGCTATACAAACACATGGTGCCGACGTCATGTGAGAATCTCTTCTACGTCTGATCGAAGTCTTAAGCTCCACAAGAAACAAAACACAAGGAAATTCAATCAGGATCCTAATCAAATGATCAAGCAATGGCTGTTTTACGATAAGCTCCCATACTGGCAGCTGTGCAGATCAACAGCCATCTGCTTTAGTCTCACTACAGCCAATCCCTGAAGAGCAGTGCATTAAAAAAAAATAGAAACAAAAGATTTACAGTGTCCTGCAGACACTATCTGATGGCTTGATATACATCCGTAAGAAAGTATCAGTGACATCAAAAAGGTTCAAGAGGCAAACGGATGCTCTTGACGCTTTAACGGTGGTCATAAGTCTTCGTTACCTGAAGGATGTCAGATCGAGTGAACAGAATGAGGTTAATCTGCGTTTATCAATCAAGAACATGAGGCAAAGATGAAGTGTGCCGGTCTTTCTCCCTCTCTTATGTCTTCTGTGGGTCGGGTGAGAGAGGGCCAGGCGTGTTGGTGCCGTCTAAATTATACACGGGAACAGAGAACTGCGTGGAACTCAGGACAGAAGGAAACTGATAAAATGAAAAGAAACAGAATGAAAAAAACTGAAAGCATCCTTTCTGGGATATTGTTATTTTAATGTGAACATCTCAATGTGTCTAAAGGTGTTTTCACCAGTGTTGTTATCAATAACTAATACTAAAACTATTAAAATTGTTTTTGTTCATTGAAATAAAGGTAAAATAAAATACAAATATTAGATGAAAAACTTAAATGAAAATTAAATGAGAATTAGTGCATTAGCAACTAACTGAAATAAAGTTTAAGTTAAATGAAATAAAATAAAGCTAAATGACTAAATGTAAATTATATATATATATATATATATATATATATATACACACAAAAAAAAACGTAAGATATAATTAAATAGAAAACAAAAAAAATTATTTAGTAATAAATACTATAATAATATATAAATAATACTAAAATAACACTAGTTTTCAGACTTTCACACCAAAAGTTTCTGGTGCAGATAGTTTGATTAAGTTGATAAGAAAGATGTTGTAAACTAAATCATAAATTAATATCCAATAATTAATAACCAATAACTATACCCAATAATACAAATTATTTTAATAGCAACTTTAAAGCAACAATTAAAATATATTAATATATTTTTTGTAAATATAAATAATACATTTAGTTATAAAAACAAATTTCACTACAAAAAAAATTACATTGATTACATAAGTATGATTTTTTTTTTTTTTTCAAGGTTTGAAAAAACACTGTTTTGTAATTCTCTGATATTTCCCGTTTTTCCAGGCCTGTGGGAATCCTAAACGACTTACCGACTCAAAACCTTGCACAAAGAGATCCCTCCCATTACATTCAACAAAGCTGTTTTCACTACAAGCGCCGTATCAAGTTGCTTATGATTTTTGTTCAGTGGAAATGTGGGCTGGTATGAGCACAAGCACCATATTGAGTGAAAAAGAATATATGTGATACTCACAGATGACATGATTTGAATCCAAATAATAACATGCGATTGTAATCTTAAGGAGGGTGGAATCAAATTTAGGTTTTAGACCAAGTGTAAAAATGGCCATCAGCTTAGTAAATCATTTCAAGTGGCTCACCTGGAAGAGGGTATGCGTGCCGTGTCTCCGGGCGGGACTGAGGGGTGCCACCGGACTGAGTGTGCTCCAGAAATGGATATTGGACAGAAGTGGACTGGGTGTGAGCAGCAGGGGTGTCTGCAACAAATGTGAACTTTTTCAGACTTTTGCTCAAAGTGAATCTCTTTCCAGCTTGCATTCATTAAAGATGCCTTCCCAAATACTCGTGAGCATCATGCCACAAAGCATTTGCAAGAGGCATAACCCTGAAATATAAATGTTTAATTAAAAGTGGCTTAATGAGACTTTAAAAAGCAATAAGAATTAATCACAGGGCAAGGGTGCTGCATTTCCCCAAAAACCATAAATAATAGATTTGAATTATAGTTTATTTCATCTTTCATCTCACTGAAGAGACAGCAGGAGGTTGATTCTCTGGGGCTGGCTGTATGAGTGCTCGTAAATGCAAAGATTGTGCAGTCTTAACGAGGTGATTCATCAAAGTAGCATCCAGCTAAACCTCACCATATGATGACGACCATTTAACAGCCAATGAGTGTCTCCAAGGCACATCATCACCAGTTTAAGTAGTGCACTACTGCCCTCTAGTGTCTTAACATTACATCAACTCAACCAAATAACCAAAAGGACTTCAATTTGACCTCATCATATTTCCTGTTCAGGATTACTACATTTTAAGAAAAAAATATGTTGGTTGTAAAATGGTCATTTTCTTTTAAACTACACACCCTCAGAGACAGTGATGATTTTTATCATCATTGGTCATTTTTTTTATTTTTACAACAGCCTGCTTATAATTGCAAGCATATTATGCATATTAAACAGGTTCACAAGCTATGTTGGCATAAAAGTTGCAAATATTGCAAAAACTATTTGTGAATAAATTGCATTAGAATACATTCAAATATCTCTATGCAAACTTGAAATGCAAATAATATTTCAAAAATGTCCAATCATAGCTTGCGGTTAACAATAAAATCACTTATTAAACCTTTTTTTTTCTTTCTCCTGCACTAGACTTTCCCATTTATGATTTGCTTGCTGAGTTTTGTTTGCAAAATAATAATATTTTTGGACAGATGGAAACTCGGACCACAAAATCTTAAAAGGGACAGTTCACCCAAAAATGTTCTGTCATCATTTACTAACCCTCAAATGGTTCCAAACCTCCAAATTTCTTTCTTCTGTTGAACAGAAAAGATTATATTTTGAAGAACGTTAGTAACCAAACAGTTGACGGTAGCCATTGACTTCCACAGTATGGAAAATAATACAATAGAAATTTGGTTACCAACATTCTTTTAAAATCTCTTTTTCATTTTCGGGTGAATGTGTGTGAAACAAGCATATAAGTAAATAACTGCACAAGAGGATACACCTCTAGTGAGACGGACAGAAAGTGTGACCCAGACATAAAATCTGCTGACGGTCTAATGATTCTAACAAATCAATGACAGCAACAAAAAAAAACAGCATTGAACATGTGTAATGTGGAAGTCAGGAGGGGACTGACCTGCAGGAAGGCTGGGGTGAGAGAAGCCGTAGGGAGGGATGGGCTGGACAGATTGAGAGGGCTGAGGTCAGAGCTGGTCACCACCAGTGTCGGCATCAACTCCAGGCCTTTGGGTTTCTTAGACTTTCCGCTGAGACTGCGGGGTGGAGATTCGGACATCTCAAAAACTGGTACTGTGTCCTTGAAAACAAAGATGGGCTGGTCCTGATAGATCACGAAAGGAAGAGAAAGATGGACATTTTCTTCTGTTTGAGAGGTTCAAAACATTGTAGAGTTTTAACAGGATAAAGGTGGACACTTTTTGTAATATTTACATTTTTACATTCAGTGTTTCCCACAGACTTACACTCTATGTGTGGCGGCACTTCGCCTGGGGGAAATATATATGTATATAATGTAAATATAAAACAGCAGACGGGCTTATTGAAAGTGCAGATTCACTCTCTGCCAGCAGGAGGCGCTTTAGGAGCGGCAGAACTAGCAGTTTCCCCGGTAACGGCTGTAATCAAAACAGCGCTGCCCTTATGAACGCTACTTTATCAGGCATTATAGGAAATATGAAATGAAAATGACATCAAAACTTTTCTGAAAACAATCGGTTCCCTTCAAAAAAAGATACATTTATATAAAAACACCCGTGCTGCGTTTTGACTTTGAAACGTGCAGAGCTCATGTTTATTCAGCAAAGTCAAAGCCTTTTGGAAAATCTATTTGTGGCGGTCAGTGTTGATATTGTGGCGGGCTGCCACAAATAAATCAATGTATGGGAAACCAGGGTATATTCTTCATTTAGAAATGTATAAATGTTTTATTTGAAGTGATTCAAGTCCTATTCATGCTACATTTAAAATAAACACCATAAACATAAAGTACTGGCAAATTTTCCACACCAACACTATTCTGATTTAGTCCAATGCTGAATGTATGCCATTTCAATTTTCATAAATTTCAGCTGTGGAAAATAGGCTAACTTCCGTCAACATAACCAACGTGACCACCTGCTTGCACAGGGAGTGTGCTGGGGACTATTTTCAGGTGCTGCATAATATCATTGCGCCTGCTGCACCAAAAGTACGGCAGCAAAGTTCCTTGATTATTACACCGGAATGAGAGTATATCTCCTAGCCATATCGGCATAGAAAATCGCAACTTTTAATTTTCCGTCAAGTCATAGTACACGATGTAACTACAGAAGAGTCATATTTTTAAATAGGAAAAATATTGAAACTCTTAGGTCATTTTTGAGCGAGATGCTAATGGTCTAATCAGATTCAATGATCTATGCTAAGCTACTGCTAAAAGTGCTACCGCCAGACCCGGAGATCGGCTGAATGGATTCGAAAATGTTAAAACTCAACCGTTTAACTCTAGGGAAGTTGAAAAATTAGCCTATTTTCAAAAATAGTGGAGTGTTCCTTTAAGCTTTTCATGTCTTTTTGTGCTTGTATGTTTAAACTGGCGAGGTGTATTTGTTCGTTCAGGCACGGGAGGAAGCAAAGAAGAGCTCTGTCTCCGTGTGCGCACCGAACTCGGCACACAAACTCTCCGTTTTTCGCGTCTTGTGTTTGAATGCTTTAAACTGTTTTGAATGGTTAAATTGGCAAGGCTTAAAACACGTGCAATTGATAAGCTTTCATGCCGGAGCGACGAGACAAAACCAATAAAACCCATTATAAACGAAGCATTTGTTGCATCCAGTGGGGACATAATTACGAATTATAATTACTTAAACTGTCTTTTTATAAACATAAAACCATGTCTGCATTTGTGATCGGAGAAATGACAAACAACAAGCGCTACTCTACACTGCTCAAAACTTGCGTTTAATTCGTCAGTGGCAAATTCCTTATACATAAAAAAACGTACTTGCAGTCTGTGAGTCAGAACAACCGGCATTGTGGTCTACTCTACCAGGACCAGGAAACAGTCCTCCATAAAATGTGCTGCACACATCTGAATATTTGGGTTGAACTGTTCTGGAACAGTGTTGTAAATACAACTTAACCACTGATTTTTAGTCGTGTCCTCTTTTGGAAGGCCAACAAAGTAGATTCGCTTTCACAACGAAACACAACGTCACACATGGCGGCCTTGAGTGAGCGGAGGCCGGTGGCTTGAGTGAGTGGCGGCCAGCGTATTCGAAGCAGGAGTGGCCGGCGGGCTTGCGACAACCACATGTGACGACCCCGGGCTGGACTCCACTTCGTCCACGGTGAAAGCCGATCCGATGATCTACAGCGCAAAGTTGATGTATTTCCTCAGCGACCAGCATGGATCAGCTCTAGGCATGACGAAGCGAATATCGTCCTCTTTTGGAAGACCAAACAAATTAGTTTCGCTTTCACAACGAAACACACAGTGCGCCTTCATGACATGGCAGCGGCGGCAACAACACTACAGCGAGAATAAAGGTTACGCCTTTCTTTGCGTGAAATTTCTTTGCGGCGTTATGCAAATCTTCCCACATCGTTACGTAGACATGTGGGGGCGTGTTAGAACGAGCCGTTTTAGGTAGGCATGGTTGACTCTTCACTTTTATAAAGAATACCTCCTTGGTTTTGAGACTTTAGTCTTTGCAACTTTACAGATCTTCTTTATGCACCAAGAGCTTGTAACACTCCAAAGAGAAAGGAAAAATTGAAATCGCATCATATGACCCCTTTAATGTGGCTCTGAGGTGGCACTGTAGAGCCAAATGATCTGAATTGCATGAAGAAACATTCAGTAATCACGACTCTCTATATCCAAATACAGTTGAATCGTGAGATACCTAAAAAGATTCATTTGAAAATCTTGTGCTTTTTTCTTGTTCAGAAAAAAAGTAAATGTGGGGTTAAAAGGCCTCAAAGCTGCTAGCTTCTCTTCTAGGATTTGACACACCACCTTCCTTCCAATATTATGTATATTTTATTGTATTTTCCCAGTGGCAGTACTGAATAAGTAGGCATCAGCACTAAGTGTCATACCTGCAGCTGTAACTCTGAAGGCTGTGAGGAGAGGGACTCGATTTCACTGTCAATTACCAGCTCCTGGGAATCCGTCATCGGTGAAGAGCAGGGCGACTGGGAACGAGGGAGCGGCGATGAAGTGACTCTTGAGAGCGGGAAGCACATCATGGCATTCTCCGAGGTGGGATTCTCCACAAACGCACACACTACATGCGAGACGGCCGTCTGTTTGGCCTCAGGTTCTGCCGGAGCGAGCAGTGGGGCTTGGGTGAGCGGTGCCGGAAGTTCAGGCTTCTCTATAACAGAGGGAATGGTGTGTCTGTTCAGTGGCATGGTCCCAAATTTTATGACGGTGGGTGGCTGGGGCGACTCCTGGGCGGCCTTTTTCTCCATTTGCTTTTCTCCTGGATTTTCAATCTTTATGGATTTAAAAAGCTGCGTTCCTGACTGCAGAGAGGTCAAAGTGAAGGAAGTATACAAGCCAGAGTGGATATAGTCATTCCGGCTGGACAATTTGGACTGACCCGGTGTTCCTGCACCTCGGTCTGGGACGGCTTTGCTGTCTTTATCCCTGGAGATGTTTGCAGGTTTGTCAGAGAGGGGCAGAGGTCCGTTTGAGCCACTGTCTGCACCCTCCGTTCTGGCCATGACTTCTCCCTTTAGGATATCATGGAACGACACGAAACGATACACAAACTTCTGTCCGTTCACTTTTTTGATGATGTTCTGCAAGGAAGAAAATTTTAGAAAATTCATTTTTATTTTAGCTTACGAATGACTTTCTCCTACATAAAACTAAACATATCTATGCAATCACCCAAAGAAATCAACTAAAACGCCTTGTGTGTACATTTTTACAATCCAGTCTGTTGCGTTCTTCTATGCTCTCTCAAAAAAATAACATGCAATTAAGTAAATGAACCCGTGTTAAAAGAATGCGGAAAACAATACCTCTTGGCCTGTGGTGCCAAGATGAGGCTTAAAAAGCTAGTGCACTAAAACCTCAAACACGCGGTTCCCACTCAAGAATAAACTCCTAGCAAGAGGCCATTATTTCCTTACTGCACTAACGGGCTCAGTGACCCTTTTGTTTCAGTTCAGACTCAGAGTGACTTGATTGTGCGTTTAGAACAACAAAACTGATGGAGGAGTGTGGGGGAGATGAGAGGGCTGAAAGCTAGCAATTATAATAAACACTGATTTAAATATATGAGCACAACAGTGTTTATCAGGTGAATCAGAAAAGCCTGAAAGATTAGTTCATCCAAAAATGAAAAATTATTATATTATTTTATAATTTATTATTATTAAAATCTATAATTATTTTAGAATTTAGTTTTTATATAATATTATATTTTTATATAACTCCATATAATTTATTATAATTAAATTCTAATTTATTTGCATTGTGTACAAGAGTTTAGCAGAACATTCACACTGTGAGAACTTGAACACAAGTTCAATCTTTAAGATAGATGCTATAGATTTCACAATTAAATATTGGCAGATAATGATAAAAAAATCACTTATGTCGGCTGATATACAATACTATTCTTATATAAGGCAATCAAGAATCATGGAAGGCATGATTACTAATAGTCTGCTTCTCATAAAAAGATATCAAACAGCTTTTAAAATACTTGTAATATAGTGCACAAGGTGATACCTTTATAATGGTATTTTGACAAAATTCATCCACAGCTTATACATTCATCAAAACGTCAATAAAGTAAGTTGTAACAATTTGGACCAACATGAGGGTGAGTGAATGAGATGCTGCTGACTCCTGAGATGTTTCAGATGCTTGACAATACACACCTTGTCATAGTAGTAACGCAAAGCCCGGCTGAGTTTGTCGTAGTTCATGCTGGGTTTGTTTTTGCGGACACCCCATAATCTGGCCACCTCTTCCGCCTGCAACAGTTTGAACTCTCCATCCTCGTTGGTCCAGCAGATAAGCCGCTCATTGCTGTGATCCAACAACAGCTGCAGCAGGAACTGCCACAGGGTGACTGAGCTGTCCATGTCCTTCTCTATCTGCAGACGTGGGGTAAACGTTACCTTACGGGATCCTGTTTGCTCTCACAGCCTGACCGGCACGTCACGGCATATTCCAGCAAATATCCTGACAGAGGCTGAAATGAAAATCAAGATGCGATCACATTAATTAGACGGGTGCATATAAATGCCATCGTGTGACACGACCACCATCAACCACTGATTTTATGAAACGTATATCATTTACTTCTTATAAACGTAGATCGACCATTCTTGAATTCATAAAAACATGGTAAATACACACACCATATTATATACCAAATGGTACTTCAGCATAATCCTGGCAATGCGGAGAGTGCAGGAAGACTGTGTGTGTGTGTGTGTGTGTGTGTGTGTGTGTAAGCAGCTTAAATTAAAACTAAATCTGCCTTGACTCATCCGATATCCAGCTGGTAGTTGCCAAAGTGAGTGAAAAAAGTCTCCCACATACAATCTGACAGAACAGAACACACAAATATAGAAACAGAGAGGCGAGACGTGACAGCTTTCCTCAGACTGTACGAGACAACGTCTGGGAATTACAAACTACACAAACAAAGTTCAGGACAAAATGAACCTAGATATCATCAGCAATCACATATAGCTCAAAATTATGGCCTGTTGCATGACGACAGTGATTGCGTACTGTAAATGTGACACTTGTGCATCTTTAATTTAATGGCTAAAATTTGATGTATATTTTGTTTTTGCATATTTGTCCCTTTATTAAAGACCTAAATGACCCTAGAGCTCACCATAATTACACTTTAAGTACTAAATACTCTAATGGTGCATGTTGCCATCATACACACCCATCTGGATATTTAATATATACTAAATTTACAAATACATCTGAATGGTTTTGATTGTAGTTGTCATCTTATAATGACAAATTTAATCCATATAGAATACTATATGCATCTTTAATTAGGCTAAACATTAAAACTATACATATACCTTTGTTTTGAACTTAAAATGCCAGGACCAAAGGTTGGCAAAACTATGATAATAAATCCTAAATGTGCATTTAAGCATTTCAAATCACATAAAACTGTGTGTATTGTGGATTGCTGTATAACGTTAGTTAGGAGCTATACAGATTTTTAAAGGTTTTTTAATGCAAAACCTCCAGGTCAACTCGACCACATTTAACTGTCCAGGTACATCATTTACCATTCGTTTTACTTTTCAAATTCCTCTACAATACTTATAAAGTCAACAAATTAGAAGGTGATTGAAAATATACTCGAACGTCCAAAAATGTTAAACTACAAACCTGTTAGAACATAAGATTCATTACAGTTTAATGTCTGTCAAACTCACCCGAGAAGCTTTTTGCTCTCCAGAGTCGGACCTGAAGGGGTTTTCCGACGGATTAAAACCACAAATAAAATAAAAAATGCAGACTGTTTTCTTGGTTGTTTACATCGTGTAAAGATATTTGGTGGTCAGCTAGCATAGCGTGCTAATCCGCTAGCTAACGGAGTCTAGGCGAACTTTAAACTCATTAAACATGAGCGGATATAAACTCGACTATTTAAAGCGGTTTTCTGCCTTATTTACAATGAGAACGAAAAAAAAACGGGCAAAGAAGTAGAAAGGGAAACAATAACGTATCTCACGTACGTTACTCATATTTTTAGCAACCACAATAACACAATACAGGAAGCAAGCAACAAGCCCACCAGATTAATTACTTTCACTCCAACAGCGAACAATACAACTCCAGAACAAAGCCTCGGGTTTTATGAATTTGTAAAACAATAAGGTCCCTTCATTAATATCCTCCAGATGTAAATTCAGGATGAGAAACGCAGGGAAGCCACCAAGCCAATGAAGTGCAGTGAAAATATGGAGCCAGATCGGCCTCAAAAATAATACATTTATAAAACCAAATTCATAAATTCACAGCACAGTTTACATTTACAAAATCCGATTCGTAAATTCAAAACACAATTCATAAAGACAGAAGTAAAAGCATAAATATTTCCCCAAATGCTCACACAAAAGCATCTTACCTAAATAAATTTAAAATGTTTACACAAATATGTGTATATCAAGTTCTTGAATTAATTTCCATCACACATTTATGAATGATGTTACATGTATTTATGGATCGTTGAATCTGCATTTGCAAATCATCACACATGTGTGGACTGCTTTGAATTTGTGTGTGGTATTTTTGAGACCTTCCTGGCAGGCTAAGATTCATAAATATCTTTTTTTTGGAGCACCTGATTACAATTTCTACAAAATCACATTATGATTTATATCGTTCGCACAAAATACAGCTACCCGGTTAGCCTGCTGTCTTATACACCAAAGTTGCACATACCCTGTTTATTCAGCCTGGTATCATGTTTATACGTAGGTATTAATACATAACATTTACAAGCACAAAACGTACACTTTTGTACATTTTTATTCATGCTAAAACGTACAATTTAGACGTATTTCAACGTTTAAAACGTACAAATCGCTACGTACTTTTAGCTAAAAAACGTAAAAATATTTACGTATCTTTTATATCATTAAGATATTCGTATCAATGCAAATACAGACACATTTTGTATCAATAAGCGATTTAGATTTTTAGACCGCTTAACCTGCCCCCAAACCTAAACCTACCCATTTTATAGCGAATATGCATTTTTTATCATTTTATTAATACGCAATTTAGATTTTTAGACCCCTTAACCTACCCCCAAACCTTAACCCACACCTACCCATTTTATAGCGATATATAAAGGATATACAACTCAAATTACCGAAATACGCAGGAAAATAAATTTTTTTGTAACAATATAGCATTAAAATATATTTATAGTCGCTAATTCCACTCCTACCTATAAGCCTAAACATTTCTGTACAGCGGGATGGAGATGAAGATCGCCGAAAAAAGGCTTGGATTTGGGTCTGTTCTTCGCACTCCTATGGATTCGGAAGATTTGGATTACATCGCACTGATAAAATTGTTTCATTTCGTAATTATGTTGCATTTTTGGTGTATTTTATAGTTCTATTGTCAGTCACAGCATGTCAGAGAAAACGCC